CGAGTGTTGAACTCAGACCTTCTACCTACAGTATACCGAGTGTTGATCTGAAACCTTCTACATATAGTATACCAAGTGTTGATCTCAGACCTTCTATCGTATTCTGAGTGTTGATATCCAACCCTCTCATTTTTAATATTACTATCTACATATAGATTCAAACATGTTCAGGTGGATGAATAGGGCATCAGTGGCCGGATATGACACGGTTGAAATATTACTAGGCTGAGCCTGTTGCGGCTATGATACCCATTGTTTAAATTCTGACGCCATGGTGTATTACATAGGTAGTTTTGTTATTTAAAAAACTGTGAAGATGTAATCGATCAAATATAAAACGTAACGGTCATAGTCATGAAGCACTTTGCGGTGTGTACGTTATTTTCGTAAAGTGGCAAGATAGGGAGCCCGTGGCTTTGAAGTGTTAAGACTGGTCGCCCTGAGACCGCTATAGACTGGGCAATTGACCAGTAGCCGTTCTTTGAGATAAAATCATTGCCATAACTTGCACATGATCCTGAAAAAAATTAAGAGCTTATGCATATACTGTGGTATCTCTCAACAGCGAGCGCTTGTGAGCACCATGAATATTTGTTAGCTCAGTAAAGTGGACGAGACGGATAAAGCTGGTCAGTAGGGCAGTGGTGCGGCAGGGATAGGAACACAGGATGCGAACGCATAGACAACGCACATGCAACTTAAATATAGACGGGGTGCGGCATTGAGGAATCAAGTGTTAATTACTATAAACCCCCAAACGTGTAACATTACTTTCTACACATCATGTTACATGTAGGTCCAGACATTCCTCCGTAACGAGTTATCGTGTCCCTAAGGAACATACTGCCAATGTAATCTAGGCAGGGCCCTACAGGCACAGGCACCAATCATACTTCCAACATATCGCAGGGCGCGGCAAGCGAACTCTATAGAAAAAGTCGCCGGAATTTAAAAGCGACAGCGGCATCTGAAAAAAAGTTATTAACAACAGTGTTAATAGATAGAAACATGGGTAACAAATAGCAGACTCAAACAATACTTTACCTAATGTTCTATATGGGAAACACAGAACATAATTTTGTGTACTCTACAAGGCATTTTGTTTTATCGAGTCCTGGCACAGGAATGGTAGAACATCGAAAACACGACAGATTGTTTGAGACAAAAGCATCTACATGCATACGAATGAGAATCTAACGTATACACATTTACTTTGCTTTTTTTTAGGGAACCATAAAACTAGAAAATGAAGACGTAGGGAATTTCTAAACACGTGTTTGAACAATTGAAAACCTTTCAGGTACAGACTAGAGGCAAATGAGATGCATGGCGTTTTCACGTACGCTGTGTTAATTGATGCAGACTGACAGTAAGACAACGTGCGCAGCATTGACGGGAAGTCTACGTATCAGACTTAACGAAGCCTTTCTTAGCAGAGCATTTAAACACTGTCTGATTTAAAACAACCACAGCAGGACGGGCACTTAGTACTGGCAGCTTACGGAAACATAGGTCGTATTGTTTTATTGTCACATGTTTAGTGACCTTTATTCATCCATAGTAGATTTGGGTGTGTCTTTTGGCTTGTTTGTGTTTTACGTCCTATTAACAGCTATAGTAATTTAATGACGTGCAAAGTTTTGATGGTGGAGGAAAGCCGGAGTTCCCGGAAAAAACCCACCGACCTACGGACAGTATCTGGCGACTGCACCACGAAGGCCTCGAACCTGCGACCCAGTGGAGGAGGGCTAGTGATAGCAGAATGTCAGATGCCTTAACCACTTAGCCATCGCGGCCACTTGGTTGTGGCCTACCGGGCAATAAAGTTAAAATGTCTGATAATTTGACTCTTTATAATAATTTTCAATCTTTAAAACAATAAAAAACATATCTTGGCGTTAAACAGTATCTGTGTCATGTCATTAAACCACACACAAACAAATTAACTCGGCTTCGCTTTTGGGGCAAATACCTGGTCTGGGTAACCCTGGACTTTCTTTATCGTTCAAACCTGTACTTCCTGCAGACTTTATACAGTTAGGCATCTACGCTGTTCTTTAGCACATTTGACCTCTGCTATTGCACTTTCCCAAACACGTCTTGATATCCTCATCCGATCTTACTATTGCATACCAGGCTGTTGTGCACACTTTCAGGACACATCTGGGATAATTCAGAGACAGTAATTGGAAAATGTAACATTTATTGTCTGAGTGAGTGTGAAAGTGACCAGAGTATTTGCCTTAATTATCTGTGATCAACCCTGTGTACTTTTGCACAGGGAAAGGTTAATGCCGTTATATACTAAATATTCTGGTTTGATACGTATAGCCCCCCCCCCCCCCCCCCCCCCCCCCCCCCC